AAAATATATATATATAGCCCGCAAATTGTCTGTGAGCTGATTTCCAGCTACAAGGAGAAAAAGAAAAACTGATTATGCAGGAGGGAGATGCAGGGAACAGGGATTGGGTGTTCTGCAAAGAGAGTTGGAGGTAAATAATTTTGCAGTAACTGTTATGCTGATGTTGTGGCTGGTCAAGCAAATGTTTGCTTGTGTCTGTATGATATAAGTGTTCATAGGCTATATCTATTAAAATACTGATATTCTGGTCTATAACTCCTCTCTGAACTTCCCTCTGTCCTGTATCTTGGTCTTTCATTGGCTGTAGCTCATCGCCGATGTAGTTTTCAGTCAGAAACCATTGCACACAGCGAGATTGTGAATCGCCGACAGCTCTAGATATTTAGCATGCCAAATATTTCACGGGCGTCTGCGACCTGTCGGCGATTCCCTCAGATCGCGTCTTTGATAATTCACACTGCGTGATTGTCACTCGCGTGAACGAGCACCGATTTGCCTCTGATTTCGGGCATTTGTCGGCGATTTCGCAAAACCTGTCGGCGAGTGAAAAATCGGGCTAAAATCGTGCAGTGTGAACTCGGCATAAATCTCCTTTCTTCCCCATTCTGATGCTCGGTTTGAACTTCAACAGACTGTCTTGACCGTATACATGCCTAGTTGCTGCCATGTGATTGGCTGATTAGATATTTGCGGTAACAAGCAGTTGAACAAGTGTAACCAATAAAGTGGACATTGAGTGTATGCAGTGGTTAACAGATGCAGAGCCCCCTACAGACAATACTACCAAAATGCACCTACTAACAAACCCCTCTAAAGAATGGAAAAACTCCTCCACATTGCCTGTATGGTTTTAGATTTGACTTTAGAAGACAGTTTTTTTACGTTCAAAATTTACAAACTTTATATAATAAACGAGTACACCATGAATCCATTTTCCAAACAGTGTTTTTGGCTTGTCCTGAATCACTACGGTACACCTATAATAAGTGTTTATATTTGGACTATTTAGACTGGTTCGGGTAGGTACCGCTGCGGAGTAGCCCAGTACCTGCGTGATTCGACAGACATAAACAGAGAGAAGTAGCTCCGGCTACAATGTTCTTCCGCAAGACGCACGCAGTTCTGTTTATTAACCGCTAGAGCGCCAAAAGTTACGGACAGCAGCTTTAACGCGTATTGAACTTAAAACATTCCTTTAACATAACATGCATTCTTTAGCATTAATATCTAATTATTTCAAACAAAACGCAGACCTGAAATACTTCAGACACAGAAAAGGTTATGGTAAAGTAAAACCACATCTCTCTCTTTGGCAATAAAAGTATTTGTTTAATTTGTTTTTTTTGTAAGTGCTTAGGCAGTACAGCAAAAGCATTTTTAAAATGCTAAAAGGGGCTATAATCAACTGGGTACAATACATAAATCAGCAAAACATATTCTCTCAGGGATCCACCAAGAAGCACAAGACCAAAACAGAGTTCAAAACAATAATATAAAGATGGTAAAGATATATAAATAACTCCATTATAACTAAAACTACATTTCAAACGTCTTCCTTCTTTTACAAGAAAAAAGAACATTAAGCAGGTTAGATATCAACAGTTTCACAATGCTGGATACTCGCACACTGTCATCTTGGCATAAAAAAAACCCTGAGTAACCTATGAGATCAAGTCACAAAATAAATTAATTCAGTCGGGGATGTGATGTTGTATCTTGAAGGAGGTGATCACATAAAACATGTGACTTTCAGGTCGTGTAATCATCTGCAGTTCACTCAGAATTCAGTGACCATTGGCAGTGGACTTTTGCCCTATCGTCTTTAACTCCTTACTACCTAAATTGAGCAATTCCAGCATTATGGATATAATGTATATTTAAATACATATTAAAAAATGAGACTACATCGATTGAGCATACTTATGTAGTGGAGTGCAGAGATTTATTTATTTATTTATTTATTTTTTATTACGGTCTTCAAGAGAAAGTCAGATGAAGATGGAAATGTTAGATATCCATATTGCAAATAGGCCGGATATGATTAAACACAATTACCTGATGCCTGCAACATATCACTGATACATTAGTTGGACTGGCTAGCTAGCTAGCAGTTCCATAAATAAATAAGTGCATAAACATGCAGTTTTGTTCAAAAAGTACATAAATAGATATGCTGTGTAAAAAAAAAATGGTTATGCCCATGACACAGAACACTTCAAAAGTGAGAAGAGAAACTATTTGTTAAATACAAGCAACCTTCACAAAGGTTAGATGTGCACAGGAAGTTAGAATACAATCCCATTTATTTTATTCAGGCTTAACATTTCACCTGTTTGAATGCGAAGACAATGCTTGCAAGATTGTTTCAAACCTGCAAGTCAACGTTTTTTTGGCTATGCAATGAGATATCTGAAGTCATTATGTCTGTACATGTCTAAATCATGAATTAAAAAATAGTTTTACATTTATTTATGTATATATCTACATTCGGAGGCCCAACTGTAATCTGGAATTGCCCAATTTATCTATAGTATTGTATAGCGACTGGATTTTAAAGTAAGCAAATTCTGCAGGATAAAAGAAAAGTAGTTTACCAATGTACTGCATCATCATGTTTTGTTTTGTTGGATGGTGTGCTCATCAGGGAATGTACGCCACACTACAGGGCTGATTCTAGCTGAGCTGATGGGGTTTGACAGTGGCAGGAGTGAGTGATCCAAACTACTGTTGTTTGCACTCTGCAGGCTGAGGATTCCCAGTCTGAAAAAAAACAAAAGATTGGGATGGGGAAAGGGAGAGAGAAATATTTTATTCAATAACTTGATACAGTATCTGCAACTTGAGGCAGGAGGAGTGTAGGAGAAAGAGAGGGAGATATATCTTCATCACAGAAGAGTGGCTTCATGAAAGCACATTTACACTGACGCATCTCTCTAGGCCTTTGTAGCACCAACAATGTGAATGCAGTCATTAATTAAGATAAAAACATCAGGGACTCTAAAGTGAATCACCACTCTTTTGTACTGCAGATACATCATCACTAAATGGGAGAAAGCGTCTTTCACCACAGCCTGATCCACCGAAAGAAAACGTGCTATGTATGAAGCAGTTGCTTTCCATGAAGGGGTCATATCACGACAAACCAAATCTCACTTGAACTTTTGAAAACAAAAAAAAACAACAACGTAATTTTCAGAACTCAAAACTTCCCCTCAAGTGCAAACAGATTGAAGTAATAAGCTGTTGAAAAAAGAATTGTTCTAAAATCCTACAGTTTCTGACACCGTAAACCCAAAATATTAACATATCCAATTCAATTCAATTAATTATTATTTGTATAGCACTTTTCACGATACACATCGTGCTGGTTTTGTCTGGCCAGAGGAGAACTGGTCCCCCGACTGAGCCTGGTTTCTCCCAAGGTTTTTTCTCCATTCTGTCACCGATGGAGTTTTGGTTCCTTGCCGCTGTCGCCTCTGGCTTGCTTAGTTGGGGACACTTCATTTCCAGCAATATCGTTGACTTGATTGCAAATGATTGCAAAGATACTATTTAAACTGAACTGAGATGGATGATGACATCACTGAATTCAACGATGAACTGCCTTTAACTGAAAAATTAGTGTTTACCATTGTCATTTTGCATTATTGACACACTATTTTCCTAATTAATGCTGTTCAGTTGCTTTGACACAATCTGTATTGTTAAAAGCGCTATATAAATAAAGGTGACTTGACTTGACTTGACATTGTTGCAAACCAGCTTCGTATGACTACATGGTACTTGTTACTGATTTGGTATGGTACTATGAAGTGATTGAAAGTGTCAAGAAAAACTAATTTCAGACTGTTTTGGTGGGGGGAACTTGACTAACATTAAGGGTATTAAAATAAAATAATAACAAATAATAAAAGAATGGACACTATCATTCAAGATAATGTTAATTTAATGTTTTTTAAAAAGTCTCTTTTGCTCACCAAGGCTGTATTTCTTTGATAAATTCAGTAAAACCAGTAATATTGTAAAATATTATTACGATTTCAAATACTGAATTTTCAGCATTATTACTCCAGTCTTAAGTGTCACATGATCCTTCAGAAATCATTCTGATATGTGTTTTGATGCTCTAAAAACATTTCTTGATGTTTTGCTTATTATTGTTGATGTGCTGCTTATTCTTTTTCTGGAAACCATGATGTTTTTCTTTCAGGATTCTTCCACATCTATGCTTGGTGGTGGATTATCACCTTGAATAGGTGGATGTGAAGTTATAGCAAGATATTATGCATTCAAAAGAGGATGCCACATATCTGAGCTGGATAAGTACTTGACCTACTAAATACCACCAATAACTATTAAGCAAGATGCATTAAGCAAAATGGATGGAAGGACCTTGTCCAAAATTCTCTAATACAGCAGCTGTGATTCTGTGCTCTTCTCTTTTCTGTTACAGTCCTGTACTGAGGTTTTGGGCAAGGCCTTGATGATATGAAACGAATGGCTTAATATAATGTCACAGGGGTGCTGTGAGGATGGGATAGCAGACATAAGGAGAGAGATGAGGCTGAGAGGGACGTGTGAAGGCAAAGGTTAGAATGGACTCATGACATTTCTTTCTTACCTAGAAATGTATGAGGTGAGAATGACTTATGCCTGTCACTAGGGCAGAACAGGAGGTAGAGAACAACCACAATCATCATTAATCATCAAACATGCAAATAAACCACAAACATTTATCCAAAGAAAAAAAAAAAAGACAGAAAATGATTAGTTACAGAGACTGAGGAACGCTGAACAAAGAGACAATGAAATAATTCCTTTTTAAATTTCAGTTTAAAGGTCCCATGGCATGAAAATTTCACTTTATGAGGTTTTTTAACATTAATATGAGTTCCCCTAGCCTGCCTATGGTCCCCCAGTGGCTAGAAATGGCGATAGGTGTAAACCGAGCCCTGGGTATCCTGCTTTGCCTTTGAGAAAATGAAAGCTCAGATGGCCCAATCTGGAATCTTCCCTTTATGTCGTCATACGGGGAAAGGTTACCTCCCCTTTCTCTGCTTTGCCCGCCCAGAGAATTTGGCCCGCCCATGAGAAAATGAGCTACTACCGTGCGAGGCGAGCGCAATATTTTTTTTTCCTCGAGAGACATCATGGCTTGCAAACGAGCGAAGCATGGCAGTTGCTCAGTGTTTGGATGTACAAATGAACACCGAAGTATTTTTTTAGTTCCTTCATCCGAGCCTATGAAGAAACAGTGGGTTAATTTTATTTTCTCTGGTAATGCGCCGACACAACTTCCCAAAGTTTTGTATGTCTGCGCCAAACATTTCACCGACGACTGTTTCCTCAACTTGGGCCAATACAGAGCTGGCCTTGCTGAACGTCTGAAAATAAAGTCTGGATCAGTACCAACTCTCCTTGGCTCAGCTACAAACCTCGGACAAGTAAGTCAACTAACGCTATACAATTTTGTTGCTTTACTGTATATGGTTACCTAGCTTGTTATCCTTAGAATGTGGCTTTAACATTAGCTCTGCAGCTAACAGCCCAGTTACTGTCGCTAATGTAAAGGTAGATAGCATCAAGTATGTGTGTGAATACACACACTGTAACGCGAGTGTTGTACATTTTTTTGTTGTTTGGATAACCGTTCTGCTGTTGGTGTTATGGCGCACGCGATATCCACATTTCCAGATTGCAGAGCTTGATGTAATTGTAATAAGAAAGATTGTAAAAACTTTTAAGATATATGAAATATAAAATATGTAAACAAATAAATGATGTAATATCATTTAATCATTTCATAGATATAATTTTAAGTATTAATGTTATTCAGTAAACATGCTTATCTTCTAT